AGTCATCCCTCTCCCCAGCTAAATCCTCCAGCTCATTTTGCTGGATCCAAAGGCACTTGGCATTTTTCAGATCAGCATCATGCTAAAGAATTCTCTTCGGAACAACACAGACAAAAGGTTTTGAATTCTCCATAGGCACATTGTTATTCATTAGTGAGATAAACAGCCAAAGTTTTAAGTAAATTCTTTTTTAGACATAACTGTCAGAAAGTCCAGAACCTTGGTTTTACAGACATCAATTCAGCTAATCTCTGAACAACAGTATTTACAGTATGACCAAGCTTACTGTTTGCTTTTGAATAAAAAAGTTGTCTTGGAAAGATATCTGAAATATGAATATTGCACTGCAGAAGAATGCTATTGGAAATGTTCAATATTTATAAATACATAAGTTAAAAAATCTAACTCATAAACTCAACGAAAAGAGAGTGAAGGTATCACCAAATAGAGTTTATCTGAAATTTGGAATATTGCAAAGATTTATTAGACAAATACAAAGATTTGTTAATACAGGTGCTGTTATGTTACGACTGACATGATCACAGGGAACATTGCTGCCTTTTAGAAACGGGTCACTGTGCCTTTGCAAAAGAATCAAGTCTGTTAATATAGTGTCGCAAACAGAATTTGATATTAAGAAGAGTGGAAAAATCAAGGTTTTTGATAAAGGTATACAACCATCAGGTCTCCCACAGCACTGAAAATACAGTTACCTAAAACCCCTTCAAACTTTTGGAGAGTTGCAAAAGGATTCAGTTGAATTAAGACGTTGAAGACTTGCCACATCCAGACATACACAGGAAGTAAATGAAATACGAATCTCGCTGACATCTCCTTTAACAGCCGTCATGATTTTCACATTAAGATGTCTTTAATTAAAATAGATTTTTCTTTGCTATTCTAACACGATTTATACCTAATGTGTGTTGGCCTAGTGGTTAGAGCAGTGCACTTGTGCTCTGAGAAGGTTGCAAGTTCGATCCCCGCAGCTTCCACTCTGGGTTCCTAAGCAAGACCCTACTGCTAACCGGGCGCCAAACAATGGCAGCCCACTGCTCCCAAAAAAGATGGGTCAAATGCAGAGAGTGAATTTTCCCGCTGTGAGACAATAAAGGGATTTACATTTACCTGTCTATGCCATTGCCGTGTAAATATTCTGTCTACAATTTTGGAAAAGTTGTTTATTTAAATCCATTTTTATTGTTAGTCTAGTTTGTCTGATAATAGGAGCCTTAGTGGATTTGTGAAAATAGATTTCTTATTACTTGGGAATGGGGATTATGCTGTAAATCTCAGGTATTAGAAAGTATACAAGAAGGATTAACTATTGTGTTTGAATTACATTATCTCCCCAAAACAAAAACAGCATTATAAACAGGGCTAGTAGTAAGTGCATCAATCATTTCAGAGAGCCTTGTTAGTGTTATTCCTCCCTAATGGCTGAAGAACATGTCACTGCAGCAAAATGTATAACACTCTTTTATGGATCTGTTTCATGCTAGATACATAATGGTAGTTATCTTTTAAAGAAGCCTAAGTTTTGTTATAAATGCTTCTTTGACATAAATGTGTCTTTTTCTGTTGGTCCGTGACATTTAAATTGTACAGCCAAAGTTGTGAATAGTTTGACTTTATACACAGATGGCACATTTCCTCAGTAAACAACAGAAAAATATAGAAAAATGTAAGGCTGGCACTTATGTGCATTCAGCCCCCAAAACAATACTTTCAATGATCACCTTTGTTTCTAGTTACAGCTGCAAGCCTTGTGGAGCATTTCTGTGCAAGCTTTGTCTCCTTTGTGTTGCTTTAGCATGTAAAACCTAAATAATATACCCTGAAGAATGGTCTTAGCTTAGGCACAATGCTGAGCAAAAGGCAAACTCAACTCCTCCGTCGTCAAGTTTCTTTATTGTCTTATTTTTATTTTCACATCTTGAAAATAAAACTTCTGAAATGTAATCAAAATCATTTTGTTCCTCTCCCTTTTTTGTAAAATACAAATTAGGCAGTTGATCCAGTTACCTTTTAGGTTTATGTTTGCTTTTAAGGGATAAAAAGGCCTTACTAACTTAAACAATTTTTCCTTTTTTTATTTTCCTTTTCCTTTCTTAATCTGAACTTGGTCTTTTTCTTTTTAAGGTTCAAGGAAAGTAGCCAGAAATTCAGAGCATGTTTGTGCACAATAGACAGGTTGTGTTGCCACTTGTTTGTTTTTGGGGTTTTTTGCTTGACCTTCCCACTACTTGACAAGGAGCTAGACTTTACCTGTCTGAGTCAAACGCTTTACTAAGAGAGATATACAATACCTTCTGCATTATTGAATTTTATAGCAGTGCAATATATTAACCTTGACTGTCTGACACCGCTGTACTGTCAGACCGGTTCCCATTTATCTTCGCCAAAGTCTTGAACCTGAGATGCACTGAAAAATAAAGATACACTTCATTGCGGCAGGCGGCTCTCTTGGAGTCAATGAACACATCAATTCATACTGCATGTAGCAATAAATACTGTCCAGACCAGCATAGTAGACACTAAATACTGTTGTTTATTGATGGGCTGTTGAGTTAAATTGTATCTTTGTGACTGGAGGGGAGGGAAATTAACATTCCAAGCTAGGTGAGGCTTCTTGCTGAGAAAAGTGATTAAGCTAAAATTTCTTTGCAAAATGCAACTAATTAATACGATTAGAAAAAGGTCTGAGCTGGGTTAAGTGCAGGGCCGCAGGGAGCTCTACACTGTGGAAACAGCTCACTATGCTTAAAGTGGAAGAGAATTGCATAGTTGTTGTTGTCCATCTCTAACAGATAAAAACATGCTCTTTTTCACATATAGGGAACTAAGAAAAGTGGCCATTAATAGTGTTTCTATTTGCTTTTCTTAGTTCCCTATCTGCCTCTAAGCTACAAACATCTTCCCCACCCTTTTACATATGACAAACAACATAATTGATTTCATAAGATATGGTGTTTGTTCAAACATCTGCCCAAAGTGTTTAAGCTTATATAAGCTGATTATATCAGCTGATAATATCAGTTAGATTAAGGGCCATAGTTAGCTGGCCTACACTGCATTAGCACACCAGCACTTTTTGTTTCATTGCAAACTGGGATTTTAATCATTATTACCATGCTAACAATCATGGACCTCTTAAGTTTCAACAAAATAATTTTCCAAACTGTTCAACTTTGGAGAAATGCACCAAAACAGGGGAGGTAGTTTGAGCGCTAACAGACGAAGGAAACTGTTCCCTCAAAATTTAAACAGAATCTTATTAAAGTGACTTTGAAGTTTAGAAGTAACTAGAACATTCTTTGAATTGAAATTAAACCTTCCTTTCTAAATCTTGTGTATTTGGACAAATGTTTCTCTGACAAAGTTTCTGCAAGGTTTCGTTCTGTTTACGCGTGGGATTGGATTTATAATTAAAGGGATGAATCTGAGTGAAATCAAGGTAACAATGTTCAGACCTGGCTGTGTGTTGCATCATAATGTTTATCCTAAAACAAACTCAAATGTGGTCTTTGATTTTTTAATTTCTTTATTTTATTATTTAGATCACAATGTCAAAAATACTTAAACTCCAGTACATCTCTTAACAAAACGCCAAAACCTATGATTCATTATTTAAACTCTATAATCATCCACTGTTCTTTTTTTGGTGGATGAATTAGCTCCTTTGCATTTTTACTTACAAGCTCTGTTTCTTTTATGATATTATTTAATGCATCTGAGTGTAGGAACATATATGTATATATACACGTCATACAAGTGGATTGCTTTATCAACGGCATCAGTGATTATCTACTGGTGTTTGTGGTTTAGGACAACTGTTAAAGGAAATCTGCAAATACAATGAGAAAAGAAATTATTTATTTAGTCAAATTTGGGACTTAATAATCCGGGAAAAAAACTATATGTACAATGCAAAAAAGGTCAATATTCTGATACCTATTGGATTGCAAAAGGATTGCAGAAAGCCTGTTAAAAAAAGAACACACTGTAGAATTATTTTAAGTACTGGATATTAGAGATAGAAAACATGTACATGATATAAGAACAGATGAATCAAAAATGTTAAAGACATCTAAACAGGAATATTATAGTGAAATATTAGGTGAGAATAAAAAGAAACAAAAAAAACATATGGAATCCATTAAATTATGTTGTTAGAAAAGGACCAGAATAAATTAATTATCCACAATATTTTATGAGCAACAAGATCATTTTTGATGATTTTTCTGTTGTGACTGGAAAATTCAGCAATTATTTTGTATATATAGGCCAAAACTGGCAGAAAATGTCCCTGATCACTGATCACCATAACTGAGCTCTAGTGTTTAGTGTAACACTTAAAGGACATCACTCAAACAGTTATGTACTGTTATTTTTAAAGCCATCAGGATAATTCATAAGGCTGGTTATCGTGAACATATAAATGTTATATTCAGTCATTTCTGCTTTCTTATATTCTCTGATCTTCTAGAGTTTCTGAAATCACAATTATTTTATGAAGCTAGAAATAAAAAGCTATGAGATAAAATACAAAAAGTATTTGTTGAAAGAAAGGAAGAATAGAATTACAGGGATACTCTAAATTGTAAAATATTTTCTGCTTGAATGAACATGAAAATAACCTGTTTTTCAAAAAATAAAGGAAAGGTGTAAAACATTTTGAAGTGCCAGTTTTGAATTAAAGGAATGTTTAAACATTAGAGTGTTAAGAAAAAATCTCAAACTGATTTTCTTAAAAATACATGAAATGGAGGAAGGGCTGTTAACATCAATGCGTACTCTGAGTCACTGTACATGGGTGTTTATTTTGCAGTGGTTGTGATGGTGTGGGCAGTGGGTGATAACTAAATAAATGAAGACGTGTATAGGCAGGTGTGAATATTTGTATCCTTATATGTACATAAACTAATTTATTTGCTTACTTAATTGACATTTGGAGTAGTATGGACTCATAAGTTAAATAAGAATCAGGAAAATCGTTCATGGTCTATAGAAAGGTGAAGGTTAGATAATTAAGATAATTATATATATAATGTTTGCATATGTTGAACATGTACATTTTTTTCTGGATTGTATGAATAAAGGTTATTCAGTCATTAAGTCATTCATTTGTAGAGCCTTGTTTATGTGTTAACATAATTTTGGATGTCTTTGCAGCTGGGTGAGGACACATTCAACCGAGCAAAGCTGCTTAATGTTGGCTACACAGAGGCTCTAAAGGATGCTGAATACGACTGCTTCATCTTTAGTGATGTGGACCTGATCCCTATGGACGACCGGAACCTCTATCACTGTAACGACCAGCCAAGACACTTCGCTATTGCAATGGATAAGTTCGGCTTCAGGTAAGCTTATTATGGCAAATTATTTAACCCCTTGAGCTCGGCGGGTCTGGTACAGGGCCCAACTAACACCTGCTCATGTTTATCTATTTATAGAAATGGCAAAAAACACAGTCACATGGTGTTACATCCACATGTCTTTCATATGGGGCTTTAAAATTTCTAAACCATGTTTCAGAAGCTTGGTTTCCACCTGACATGTGTGACTCTGCAGGAGTAATGCAACAGCAGGTATTCATTTTTAGCCACACCCACTAATTGCAGCCATCATTGAAAATTAGAGGCACAGACCTTTCCAAAGAGGTTTTGAGGTAATTGTGCGACCATTTCAACTGGCATGCGTCACTGCTTACTCTGTTATTCTTATTTTTTGTTCAGTTTAGTGATATTATTGGTAAATTTCTATAAAACAACGGCTAAATCTTAGGAGCAAAGGCTTTGTCTTATACAGAAGATCTTCAATAATGTAAATCTGGATATTTGTCTGGCCAGATTCCTTGTTATGAGTGGAAAAATACATTTTTGCACTTTTAGCATTGTGAAAAAATATATAATTATTTAGTCCATATCTGCTTGAGTTATAGTCAAGATGTGGATCTATAAAGTTTATAAAGGGTTTTCATGGTGTTTTGCAGTGCTTATTTTTGGGGAAAAATGTTTTTTTTAAGTTTTTACTTTGTTTAATCACCTATACATCAGACATGGTGACATTTAAAATAGTGCTTCCACCTGAAAAATATTCCTCAATGCCTTTCTGTTATAGAAATGCAAACAATTGTATTTCCAATGAATAGATTGGGAGCTGCGCTTTAATTCACATATGTAATTTCAGGCGGTATTTGCTCCTGAGACCCTCAAGGCTTAAGGGGTTTTTCAAACAGCTCAGCGTATGGACCATGAGAGAATGAGACAAAAGAACATTTTTGGGAATCATAAGAAACCCTAATTATAAATAGTGTTTTGAATTTTTTTATTTTTGTGTCATTTTTTAGTTGCTAATGCCTTAATGCTTGTTTTTTTTTTTTTCTTGTTTTTTTTGGGGGGGAGGATCTAATAAGTGTATAATCTATTTAACTTTTTATTGCCCAACGTTTGAGAACAAATAATGAAAAAGTGACCAAGCTATAGTTATGAAAGGGTAAAAAACACGTTCAGTTAGTCATTGATAAGGTACTACATAGCAGATGCTAACTTTAGCCTTGTTAGCAATAAATACTTAGGGACATTATTTGCATCACTTTTTCATTCTTAATTTTCTACTGCATAGCCTTAAATGATGCCACAAAAATGATTACAAAGAGGTGGAGGCTTCCTCATTGTTTATAAACCCAAGTGTTGATAGCCTGGAAAGAAATCTTCATAAGTTTAAAGATGAGTCTTTAAATTTGCGTTTTTAAAGTTAAAGCAATAACCTTTATATCCAGGGCTAATAAGTAGACACTTATTTCTGTGATAGGCATAAGGCTTAAGAGAAAAACTCCACCACCTGCGAGTTACCTTGTTTAGCTCCAGCCAGTCAACTCAGGGCAGCTTCTTCTCCAAAGCCAATCATCTTGCAAGATTCCCGTCATATAGCTCCTGGCCAAACCTTTCTCTCCCCCATGCAAGCAAACTTTCCCCCATTTACCCTCTGGCTTATTCCACCACCAGTGTCTGGGCCCTGGGGAGGAAGACTAGTCTACAGTAATCCTTCTCTAGGTTACTCATCCAAGCGAATGTTGATTCACAGCACTAAAGTATTCTGCCGGGGCCTGAGCACCAAAGAACCTATCTTGTTTATGTCATTATCTGCTTTCATCTCCTTAATTCCCAGTCGGCCTCAGCAGATGGCCGCTCACACTGAGCCTGGTTCTGCTGGAGGTTTCTTCCTGTTAAAAGGGAGTTTTCCTCTTCACTATCGCTACATGCGTGCTTGTTGGGAGGCATTGGAGTCAACGAGTCCTCGCAATAAGCTGGTTGTCCTTAAATAGAAACATTTTAAAGAATATGATTGTGTTACCTGTATAAATAAACTGAATAATATTAATATCATTGCAGCTTTTCTCTGTGTCAGTCTCTCTAGGTCAAATTATTGTTGAGGAAAATTAAAAAAGTATGTGTGGAGATGTTATTGTACATTTGTATATAGTGAATGTTACAGTTACAATTGCATTTATAAAAATATACACAATAGATTAAATTCAGTTTATAGTGCTAAATTGCAACAAATATATAAGGTCAGGGGACTTTACAAACATCTTTTAAAATTTTGTAAGTGAACTTTTTGCTGTTCATGTTTTTATATAACACCCTTTAATAAGTCTAAAAAGATAATAACTGGTTATCAGCTCAGGTAACTAGTATACAGCTGCTTGACATACAGGCTATTTTTAGTTTGGCAAGTGAAACATCATTAGAAACACTATTGCCATATTGTAGCATTACAGCATTAGAATATATTGTTAGCTTACATTCTATACAATGGCTGTAAGTGTTTTTCCTGATTGAAAAGGTTTCCAAGCCACCAACAGTCTTTCTCTCAGAAATGGAAAAGAGTAGCAGTGTTCTTTCAGCCAGCTGGCTTGTAGCACTCAGTAATGGATGACTTTGGCCTCATGTTTGCCCCAACAAAACAAAAGAAAATGGCTCATAAATCCCAAAGGCTTAAGTAGGTTAAGGAGCTTGTGGGTCTCTTCTCTTGTTTATTTCTGCTGCAAAAACATTAATAAGTGACAAAAGAAAACGTCCAGAAGTCTTCTACTTAGGAATTTATTTAGGATTGTCATCTCCTGTATTAATGAGAATCTACCCCCAAGGCTTTGGAACCCAGACATGCTTTTAATATTTTTGTGAATAAGCATTAATACACAGTACTTTTTTATTTTTTTCCAGTTCCAGGTGCATTTCAATAACTGCCATTAAATATATTACATGTAGACATATATTTTTTTTACAGATAATTTTAAAGTTTGGTGACGAAAAAAGTTACCTTCCATTGTCACATACCATTGAAAAATAATTAATGCATCAGAGCAATTTAGATAATACATAATTAAACTTTAATTACAGATAGACCCTCTTATCCTAGAACCTCTTTCAGGGGGCCATCAAAAAAGAAAATTAGAGAGAAAGAAAACGTACATGTCTGATGAATTTAAATGCAAAGAAACCAGAGGCTACACAGCTCTGAATTATTGGGCCCTGTTTTATCTTCTGTCATAATGACACCATACCTGACCTCAATTATCTAAAAGCACCAAAAGTATTGATGAATAGTCTAAACATAGTCAACAAATGCGACCTTGCATTGCAAAAGCTGTTAGTGCTCTAGAGATCTCCATGTAAAAAAGCCTCCAGGGCTACACTGTTCTTGATTTACTGTAGGGTTCAATGAACTAATGCTATATGACAATAAAAACAATGCCAGGTTGTAAGCAGAAATGTAGCTGACATTCCTCGTTAGTAATTAATCAGCAAGCACTCAAATTAGTTTTACTAATGCTCTCTCCTCCTCAGTAACAAATGAGGATTTAAAAGGTGAGTCAGCAGGTTTGAATATGAACATCAGCCCGTCACCGTGGTTCTAACTTTACCGTTCTTAGTTTTCTGTTGTTGTTTTTTTTTGTTTTGTTTTTTTTTATCTCTAACCTTCACCAAAGAAAAAAAAACTTTTTCTAAATGTTAACACACGTTGGTTATTGGGAAAAGTATTTAGAGGTAGCCCTTTCTGGGTTCAGATCACCAAAATTATAATGACACAAGATTTCTAGGGCCTATTTGAAAACTATCCTCATTCGGTCCGCTGCTATATTTGACCCTGTCTAACATAGTGCTAACGGGACCATGGTGCCTCTTGAATACATATCATTACATGTTAAAGTCCATGTAAAGTAGCAAGAAATATGTGTTCTCACTGCAAAAAGGATCTGGAAATAAGTCAACATTTCTTAAATTAAGTTCATTTACCCTTATTTTGAGTAGGTAAATAAGATAATTTGCGAATTGAATGAGTACAATTACTCTTAAAATAAGACAATTAGATAGTATGCGCTTGCAATAAGACAATGCAATTATGTTTTCTTATTTTAAATGTAAATTGTTTTGCACCATTGGCAAAGTGTCTCACTTACCTCCTCAATACAAGAACAAATAACACTTATTGTAAGAAAAAAATGACTTACCTAGATTTTGACTTTTTTCCAGAGTTTTAGTCCAGAGAAATGTGCGTTATTAATCACCCAGCCAAAGTTGAATAATAAAACATCTGCTAAGCATGTAAAATTAGGTATTTAATGTCACTGGAGGGGAGTTTGCTGGAATGAACTGCAATGATGGCCATGCTAAAGAACATCCCATGTACTGTGGCAATTATTTGACATAATGCATAGGAAAATTCATAACTCTAATTTGATATTGAATAGAATATTCTCAATGTTTGTAAGATTTCTGTATAGTATTTAGAACAATACTTTTAGGACATTAATAACATGTTTTTAAAAAATGCCTTCTTCCAGTCTTTAATATATAGTTACAATTTAGCAAAGTTTTATTTTATTTTTTTGTAATTTAAAGACTTTATTTAGTGCTGTTTATCCCAGTGTATCCTACTGCACCTCTACCACCTTCCAATTCATTCATTCATGAATTAGACTTAAATAATATAAAGATACTTTTCCTGTCAGTGCTAAAAAGCTTTGCTATAAATTGCACTTTAGTGAGTGAGGCAGTAGTGTGTTGAATGGTCATATCCTTCCTGCATGTTTGAGTGTGCAGAGAAATATGTCATTCATATTCTGTAAAAACGAATGCTTAGATCTGGCTGTATTCAGATCTTCCATCGTAGTTCTACTTCATTAAGGACAAAAAATGCATTTAATATTTTTAGTTTTGTAACACATCCAGAAACTGCTAAATACTATATTAGTGCATATGCATGAGCCTAAATGTTAATAGTTGTATTTTAAAAGGAGCTAATCTCTTTCAAATCTGTTTTAACACTGGAACCAAATCATTTAAAGCTTAGAGGCTAATTTAAAAATTGCAGAAACCTTTTTTTAATGACTGTAATTTACAGTGTGTTGATATGACCTTTAAAGGCTGCTGCACAGTAAAACATTACTTCCAGCACACTGGGGGCACGGAAATCAACAGAAATCAATGCCTTTGGGGCTTTAATTTCGTGTTATGTGGAAAATCTGGAGAGCTGGAGAAGTGACTGACCTTCAGTTTGTGTGATGTGGTCAGAGCTTTGGGCCATGACAAAGTTGTGTTTTATAAGAATTCTATTAAAAGCCGAGAAAATTCCCCTGTTCCTGTTTTTTAGCATTATGGTTATCTTGTTTCAATTGGTAGATAATGATAAGGACTCACAAACAGAAAAACCTTATAATTATGAGCAGATAAGTCTTAGTTGGAATGCTGTTTGCTACTACTTTTTACAGATCAACCTTTTGTAAACATTTGCAAAAAAATCTTTGATTTCTATATTTTTTTCAGATATTTTTTCAGCTTCTATATGTTTTTTTATTTAAAATCAGTAAACTATTCCAGCTGTGGTTTTTAGAATGAAATTCTGCTGCAGCAACCATCCCTTTTTTTACATCAAGCTTTCAAACAGATGGTTTGTTGTTTATTTCCAGTATAAAATTAATGCCTTTAATGCTTATATTTTTATCTTACCATTCATCCTGATTTACTTCAATAGGCTTCTTTTAAAGTTTTGTAAATACTTTTATCTGTGCTCCCAAGGTCTTAGACCAAAACATGCAGAATCAAGGCTGAACGTTGTTTTTCAACACTTCAGGGTTCAGGATCTGGCTTAAATAGACTCATTCAACTGAGAGATTTCAGATCACACTTCTTATGAAAATAATCAATAATTTCCATCAAATCCTTCCACTTCTTAAATCAAACCAAACACTACATGCATGTCTCCATTCTTTCTGTGTTTTCTCAATATTTGCTCTTATTCTTTCCCAGAATGTATTCTGTCGAACACCCCCTCTCAAACACTGCTCCTGACCATATTGTTGTTTGGAGATCTTGTGCTAAAACATACGGTCTCATTACTTTCTGCTTGTCATCTCTCAACAAGGAGCTCTCACACGTCTGACAACACAGCGTACACACACGTAGGTACACACACACACCCAAAGCCGTCTGGTTAGACTCCAGGCGCCTCTCATGACACCCCCCACCGATGTACGTCCCACTCCACTAGCCTTGTGACTTCTGACAAGAAATAAAACTGCTTGTCTGCCTTTTATAGTTTGTCATGTTTGCAAGCACACACATACACATATTAACAAACTCTATTCCTATGCCTGTTTATTCATCAGTTAGAAAATGAATTCACCTCATTAATTTGCCATTCATACATGTGAAAACTCATCATTAGAAGCTTTCTAGCATTCGGTCTAACAAGGCAACTTCTTTCATAAACAGCCACTGATGAACAGCTTTTGCAGCCTGCTTAGAGCTGTTTTTTATGTATTTATTTTTTTGCATTTTGCATTCAGCCATTTTACATCTTGAGTGTGAAGTGAATTATCCTATTTAAATCAAAAGTCAGCTGTAAATTAGCCAGAGAGACTTAAAGCTGTTATTTATATGTAAACATTCTTAGTTAAATCTGCACATAGAGAGAGGCTCCTTCTAAAGTAGGAGGCAATATAGCATTTGCTGGATTAGTGTCCCCTGCACTTTTTCAAAAGTCCGCATCGGTTCCCCGCACTTTTTACTGTCCAAAAACACTTTACGCTACAGTACACAGACAATCGTTGAGAACTTGGACCAACCTGCAGCTCAAGCTGAAGCCCACTTCCCAGGGTTTAGACCACCCACAAGCTGCTGAATGACCCTTCATCTTTTCTTGTGTGATTGGCTGTCACCGCTGTCACTCCTGAGAACCTTAGTTTGCAAACATCTGATGCGCCATTGAATCAGGTCTGTGATTGGATGGTCACAGCGCTGCTGAATTCCTACACTCTACCGTAATTAGAACTGTAGGTTCACAAGTCGTTTTCTCTGCTTTCTGGTACGTTTTGGATTTTTGAGATATCTTTAATGGTCGAGGAGTTACGGTCTTGTAGAAAAACGTTGGTCCGTAAAAGACTAAAGATGTTGAGGGAATCTGCTACTGTAAATGAGGCATTTTTTTCATCTTCTGGGTGATGTAATCTACAAGGGTTGTAATGTCAGGTGTATTAATTTACACAAATCTTTGAATATGTGTCATGTGCGTGCATGTGTTTGGTTATTAGACTCACAGCCAGGATATCTGAAAAAAGAAAAGAGATATATAAGAGACGTCTTTAAAAGTCAAATTGTGAGTTACATTCAAAGAATTGTGTAACACCCCTCCTAAAACACCTTCACTGGCTCCATTAAGCAGCATATCCTCTACAAGATCGTCCACCGCACTATAAAGCTTTCAATAACCATGTAAAGTATATTTATTTTATTAAAAGTGCTGATATATCAAATATATTATTGTTATATATTATTATCATAAAAAAGGAAAAAAATACAATATTAATGTGATTTTATATACATATTATATATGTATTATTTATATAAGCTCATAATATTTTTAAAACTGTGTGTTTATATTCTACATGCACCATTTTGATTATATTCTGCACCACAAATTGTCCAACTGTCTACATACAAACACAGTTGTACTAATAGAAAACACGCTGAACTTATATATATTAGTTATATTAAAGAAAACTTGTGTCCCCCCCACTCCTGAAATCAAAATTTTGTTCATGCCCTGACATAAAAAGCAATTAGGAGGTACATCTCTATCCAATACTTATAATTTATGGTAAATGCCTATACATATATAGCTAACTATGATTCTGCTGCAACTTTTAAAGGAATTTCCCATTTCTTCAATATGTATATGTCTTGTCAAATTGCCAAGGATAAGATGACCTGATCTATGGTGTGTTTCCCAGACTGAACATGGGAATGTCAAAACTTATATTAGTAGGTTTTTCTCTTCTCCCTTTCTAAAAGCTCTTGATTCAGCAGAGAAGTTAATCCTCCATGAATAACATTATTGTTTGTTGATTTACTTTAAGAAATGTTTTTCCCTCACTGTTCATGCTTCCAATCTCTTTTCTCTCCATGTCCTGCAGGTTGCCCTATGCTGGCTACTTTGGAGGAGTTTCAGGGCTCAGTAAAAAGCAGTTTCTAAAAATCAATGGCTTTCCAAACGAATACTGGGGCTGGGGAGGGGAGGACGACGACATTTATAACCGGTAAGTGAGGAGAATTGCAGTGGGAGCTGAATTGTCTGCATGCGATTTCCTTTTCACTCCAATGTACAATAAGAATTTGACATTTTACTTTATTAAGCTTACCAAGCCATTTAACTCTAACCAAAAATAATAATAATATACCGTAATTTATCTGAATGTGGATGTATCTGATTGTTGAAAGACTTATATTAATATTGCCTGGATTTATTTATACTTTTTAGATCATTTGTGATACACTATACCTGAATTACCTTTGAATGACAATAGATATAACATTTTCCCAAAAACTGAGTCTTGGAAAGAGAGGATGTTGACTCTTTTAATCATTGTTTGAGCAGAGATCAGAGACAGAACAAAGAATACAATTTGATCTGCCTTTGACTTCCTCTTTACTTAGATAGTAACTAAATGGTATAGTGGAGGATCTTTGCAAATTTTTGAAAAGATCCGCCCTCTCCACTTAAAAAAAAAAAATGCACATGCACAACCATGTACCCGCTCACAATAGGGGAACGCTTATTAAAAACATGCAAGAGCATGCACCAGCCCATTTCTTGTTTGCCATTTCTGTTTAAAAGTTGATTTGCGATTTTTCCACTATGTCACACTCACCACCTGTAAGTCAAAATGGGGAGGAGCACGTAGGACGGCCTATTGTAAACATATCACCAGATTGATTGACAATTAGGAGGGCCACTTATTTTTATGATCCACCTGAGAAGAGAACATCCTTCACTATACCTTTAACAGGATGAAATGCTGCTATGTTGATTTCTCTATTCTATTTTATATAAAAACAAGTAGGTGTAATATTTAAACAAACTAAATTAGCCTTTTGAACTAAAAAAAGATAGGGAAAATCTGACAATGTAACAAAAAAGATTTTTTATTTAATAATTGAATTCAAGATCAAATAAAGTAAGAAAGACATTAAATAGTTTTCACTTGGATATCTCAATTTCTTTGTACTGTAATGTGATTTATAGAAAAAGTATATGAAATAAGACAAAGATAAAAAAAAAACTATAATTTACTTTAATTTTAACAAACCATTACAGATATGTTTAGAATTTATTTAAAAAACTGCATGTTAAAATAGATTTGCCCCTATTAATGATTAGTTGAAAACCATTCCTGGTATTGCAGCATTTAAAGCCAGTGTTTCTAAGCCTCAGTCATCAGGTTTCCTTCCAACCACACACCTCACTTACAGTCAATAATGGCTGATTAGCAGGTTTGTTACTGTCACATTTAGGAGGCAATACAATCATCTGTGTTTGTTCCACTGGAGCAGAAATGCAAGTACTTTTATCTGGACAGTGGCTTCAGATCAGGGTTATGAAACTAATATTACTAACAGGGTTAGCAAACTAATATTGTTCCTACTGATATGGTAAATGTCATGTACTTATATAGCGCCCTTATTCAAGTCAGGAGACTTGACCAAAGCGCTTTACACTACATTCATTCACCCATTCACACACACACTCATGGTGGCAAGCTACATTGTAGCCACAGCTGCCCTGGGACTCACTGACAGAAGCGGGGCAGCCGCACACTGGTGCCACCGGGCGCTCTGACCACCATCAGTAGACAATGCAGATGAAGTGTCTTGCCCAAGGACACAACGACATTGAAAGTCAGAGCCGGGGCTTGAACCGTCAACCCTTTGATTTCAGGGCAAACTCCTACATCCAACGCCACTGTCATTGGGGCGACATCATATTGTGATGATTTATCTTTAGTGATTGTCTCCTTACCTTAAGGTTTTTCTAGGTGGCCTTGGCTAAAATCTTTGGGCCCCGGAAGCCTTAAGGGCCAACTGATGGATCTGTGAAGGTTACCTGGTTAAACTTAATTTTCTTACAGATATAAATAGTTCAGAACTTTACATTTTTCTTCAAAGGGCAGAATATAATTATAAGCAGGTTCAAAACAATGTATTTTTTTGTGATGATTTGAGGGTTTTTTTAAACAAAGTTCTCTTGTCAGACGACCTACAGCAGCTTAAACAGTCAAAATAAATGTAAAGTCATTCATTATTCTTTATTTCTGCTATCACAAAAAAAAGTGGGACTTCAGCTAAAAGTGACATATGAGTTCTTAATTTAGATGATTTATTACAAGTGTTCATAGAAGGAGAATGATTATTTGATAAATTAACCTTTTGAAGTCGTCCAGTCAGCTTTTAATGTCAAGCTGGAGTTCACTAATTATGTTGCAGTGGGTGTTGGCTGGACTCAAATCTTGAGGAGCGTTAGATGTTTGACAGGTTGACAGGAAGATGAGTTGGGTCTCCCTGGGTGCATTCAGGCATCAAGATGACAATTAGTTTGATTAATATTGGACTCATAATGTTCTCGTACTTGGCGCTCGCTTTTATTACATGCTTAACATAGGATCTTGCGAATATCTTGGCATCATTACTTCATTTAAACTTTAAAACTGCTACAATATCTGATGCAGTTTTAAACATTCCCCTACATCCGTTCCCATAAACCCCCATTACCCAATGGAAAAAGTCACCTGGGTGTTTCTTTGCAACTCATCACAAGTCATCTTTAAAGGAAATTCAATGTCGTTTAAATGTACATTCAGCAGAAGGGGCTTAAATGTACTACGTAATTGTAAAAGACATACAGCTCAACACAGCCGGACGCCTCTCCACAGGCGTTGTGCCACTTCCATCTTTATTGTAGCTATATTCTGTATCATCTCTGTTTTCTGATCTGCTTTATGCGTGTGTCCCACCCTCACACTGTTTGGCTTATCTTTTCCTCTCAGAGTTATGATGTCAGAAGAGAAGTGAAAATGGAGAAAGGCTGTGTTTGACTGTGTGCGGCAAAACAGCGTTCAGAAGATTACTGTTGTTTGTCTGAATCTGGTAAGATGTGATAAAAAGCGATCCATGTAGGGAGACGCTGTGTGAGAGAAAGTTGTGTGTACTTATATATCTGCAATAATGTGCCAAACTGATGATAGATAGAGTTAAACCACTAAGTTTTTATTGGATAAAAAGAAGCACTCAGCCATTAGATGCTTTAGATTTCCCAGGAGATATTGGACTCCGCTTCCACTGTGCTTTTTTTGCCGTAAGACATGAGATTAAGTTGGTGAGATATAACAACATTTATTTCAAAAATATTAACTTTCTAACATTGGCTGTTTTCCCATCAATGTTTTTATGCACATTTTAAAGTATCCAATTTTAGAAACGCTGTTGGAAACAGCAAAACTTGAAAAACTCAGTTTTGCAAAAAAGGTACCTATCCTCATATGAGTTAGTTTTAGTTAATAGGCTAAACATGAGATCAAAACACAATTGCTGCAGAGGCCAGTTCCCAGAACAGAGCTGGCCTTTATTAGCTTGTTTAGTTTCTAATGCTGGTACCCCAGCAGGTAATGGCAGACAAGCTTACAGTATCCACAACTTCTAGAAGGTATGAACCATCTTTGTGCAAACACAGAGAGCCCTTAGCTTCCATAAGAGGTACAGTCTGCTCTGCCTCTTATTGTAGACAGCTTCACAGTTGAGTCTCAAGTCTAGTTTGTTGTCCTGGAAAACACCAGGATTTTTACTCCTTTGATACTCCTTCAACACCTCAAATTGAAATCCCTTCATGTTAGGTTTTCAACTTGTTCCTGTTACTTTTTAAACCCACAATAATCTTCCTTGTTTTGTTCCACCCAATGACTGCAGAGTTCTCAGAATTTTCTGAAGATGACAGGAATCTGTCTTTACGGAAAGTAGGAGGTGTGCAGAGTAAAAAGGAACGATGAGAGTACCGTCCCCTGTGGTTCTCCTGTTCTGCTAACTACTTGATTAGACAGCTGACCCTTCAGTCTAATGAAAAAGGAATAGAATGCTAATAGAAAACACAGATAAATAAATCAAGAAGATTATTATTAGGTTTCCTTGCCCACTAAGGCATGTGTTTTAAATAAAAACACATGCCTTAGTGGGCCATATGTGACATACATATTTTGCCAGGCAATTTATACTTTGCTTCTCTTCTGTCAGTGAGCCTTTGCAAAGCCATGGTTACATTGCAGCTCACCACCACCAGTGTGTGGTTGCGTGTTTGAATGGACCAATGACTGAAAGAGGTGTACTGTAAACCCCGTGGAGTTCCCTGACTGGTAAAGGCACTATATGAGTACATTTACCATACTGGATGTTAAATGTTTGCAACATTATTTCAAATGCAAGCCTTTCGACATTATTAAGTGAACTACACTGTTTGTGAGTGGGAAACATTTTTCACTGGCTTTTTTGCGTTTTGTTTTTCGATTAAATGGTCCATGGATCATAGAGTCCCATAGAGGCAGCTAGGAAAATTGGATTGGATGATTATGCACTAGATGCAGATGCATGTTTGTAAAATCGCCACATTTATTTACTGTTGTTTAATGGCAACATACCAGCTCGGACAGTTTCACCATCTTCATTCGGTTTGAATCCAGAGAACTCGCATACTGCGGATCTAAAAACAATTTCCATCTCTTTTTTTTTTCAAAATCTCACCTACTCTTCCTGTGGCTTGCTATTCCCCACTCATGGGGCACTTATGCTACACTCTGAGGTACCTAACAAGACCACGCAAGACCTGACAAGTGCCTGACACAAGAGTTCACTCCTAACTACACAAAGGAAATGAGAAGGGGAGGGGTGAATGGAGACTGATGCACCAGAGTGAAACCTTTTGTCATCCAATCTCTTTTGCAGAAAGAGAGAAAGACACAAGGAAAACACACAAGTGTAAACAAATGTTATTAAGCTCATTTAAAATTGTCAAATCTATCTGATTTTCCCATATTGCTCTTCTTTCTCTACATCTCCAGACACCATGTCACATCCTCTATACTAGTTTAAATGCAATAACAATTAGAACCTCCAAGGTAGCAACACATTCCTAATAACCTCTCTCCATTTTTCTCAGATGTGTTGTTCATGCTAGTTTGCAACCTCCACTTGCCATTAATTAAGGCAATGGACAGTA